GAAAAATGTGTTTCTGCGAGCGCACCATTTTGTAGAAGCAGGCGGCGAGACGCAAGAAAGTTAGATCTTCTCTATTCGCAACGGTGCCGGTCAACCTATCGCTATGGAGCCAGGGCTTTGGGCTATGGATCTTGCTCGAATGCAGGCTGTTTTAACTTTTGGGCTCCTCAATTTATGCCGGTTTGGGAGCTGATAATGAAGGTGACGTGTTACTGGCTCTACACACGTTATGTGAAAGAACAACGGGCTATGCGCGTCCAGATTCCATAGCCCACGCTAGTTCCACTCAGTAGGACATGCAGGAGGTACCATTCAGTGGCATTATCTAGTCGGCTGGACTGCTGATCGAAAGCCTGGTTGGTGGTCTTAGTGCTGATGATTGTCGATTTGACGTTTCGTGGAAATAAGCTGACAGGAGAGATATTCGCCACATGAAGCGCATTCTTTGTTATTGTTTGTTGCTTGTTATTTGAGTTGTTGTTGAGTTCTGTCTCATCTGATGCTTAGACAAAGTGCTACAGAGGAAAGCTTATTGGGTTTAACTACAACATGTTCTGGCTCTCACCTGCAATGCATGGACAGAAAAAAGTCCAGTGATTTCCACCTCAAGAACAAAATTAAATTAAATTGCATTAAAATCATTATATTATACTGTTATTTAAACTCATTATCAATAGCATTATCCCATCACTAACGCCGTTAAAATTCATTGCCATAATTACGCGGCACCACTCTTCCCTTCACAAAGCCACAGTATTTGAAATTGTTCACGACCTTTGTTTTTTTAAAGAACTTTCTCTACTGTCTCTATAGGTAAATTTCTAAAGATATTACTATAATATAAGGTGTACATTATTATAGCAAAAGGGTATTCTGCATCTATCTGTTATTATTAAACTGCAAACAAAAATACAGTTTAGATATTTCACAGTAACTGACCTCAAAACAGAAATTTCTAGACTTTTCTGTCAATTTATATTTCAAGATGCTGTCAACTATTTTACGGTCATTTGTACGTATAACTGAGTTGATACTTACCACTTACCTTCTTGTTAATTCGTCGATGTTCTAATTTAGGAATTACGTTGTTGGTACAGCTAATTAAATAAAAAATCAAGTAAATAAATATTATATTATTATTTTTATTTATTTATTTATTTCATTCACTTCAGATTTTGCATCCATATTACACTTCATTACACTGCATTAACATTTCATTTATACTATAATTAAATAAAAATAATAACTACAATCTCGGACTAAAACAAAAGCAATAATAATAATAAAAACAAAAAATCAAATAATAATAATAATAAAACAAAAACTCAAAATTAACATGAAAACTACCTTAACCTAAAGCCTGGTTGAATCCAGAGTGTATTAGCTCATTTCATATTCTATTAATATGATTAAATTGAGCAATATTCGTGGCTGTGTATTGAGCACCGCGCACGCATCCGTGCTCTGGCGGTTCAGGGTCGACTTCACGCGAAAAGTCTCAAGAATGAATTAATATCTTTAGTGCTATCTTAAAAAGTACATTACTACATAGTTATGATTTACAGTTAACTGACTTTGATCTGGTAGGTAATCGGAAAATCTGGAGGAAACCGTCTATTTGCCAATATTTATTTCATTCTGCCAAGGTTGGATTTTGTATGTAGCTAGTGGAGCAGAAAATTTAAACTTTCCGATTGGCTAATAATAGTAGTTTAATTAAACACAAAACCAACTATGCACTAAATTGTATAATCATAGAAAAATAACGTTAAGATATTTGTTTTTTTTTTAAATTAATCTAAAAAGCACTTTCTGTTAACTACATAACTATATCCTAAGCACGCAATTCCGTATGCTTCCCAATACTACACCACAGTAGTCCGGTTGGTTCTCAAAGCATCCACACGAGCAATCCTGTCGGATATTCAATTTATGCCGCAAACACAATCCGAGGCCTCGGTTTGAAAGCCAGGGCTTGCCAGAGTAATCGCCAGTAGGTAACTTTAATTGTGGAGACATATATACACGGATGCGGACAGAGTAACGCATGCTTTTAACAACAGTTTTCATAGGGCTTTTGACAGGGCTTATTTAATAATATTTTGTGTGTATGGACATTATGAAACGTGCATGTTTTAAGTATTAATTATTTATTAACGAATAGTAGCGTGCATGTTTTAAGATTTGAAATGCATGGAATTTCATCGCTGTAGATGAATAGACAAGTTTATGTACCTGGTTTTAAATGGGTAAAGGTACTCATAGATTGGTAAATTGAATACTGCAACCCATCTTGAGACACGAGATCAAAATAAAGGCTTTTATTATATAATGGATGTCCTCAAACCTGATCCGGAACAAAATTATAATTTTTTAAATCCGACACACTGAAAAATAGTCACTGTTCTACAGTTCCACTTACTGATCGAAGATGTTCCAAACATTTCTATCATAAACGATCCATTCAGCTTAATATTATTTCCTGCGAATGTTTATCGCCTCTGACTGTACCAGGTTGAGTTATGTAGAGCGGCTCTACATTTTTCAAAGATATTTTTGAGTGAGTTTATTCAATAACGCTCAGAGTGTATTGGCGTGGAAATTTTAAGTCTTTTGAGCTTGTTTTATTGAATGGAAATCTTTATGAATACATCAAAGCTTTTCCGTTTCATATATTTTTGCTTTTCATTGGTCGGCTAAGTGACAACAAAAATAACTTATTGCAGGTTAATTGTGGCGCCAGATCATAATTAATAAAGTAAATGATTAGGCCAGAACACCTGTATAAAGTTTCAGCTGCTGTTATTCAGAAGTTATGGGTTAATGATCCCGGTAAAGGATTTCTGAGCTACTCTACCATATCTATCAATCATCGTAATATTATCTTCCTTCTTTCTTCATAACACACTCATCACATCTCTTGTTTTGGGAACCGATACTGGTAAGTTTACCCTGGTGCATTTGAGGACAGTTATTAAATTTCTAGATAGTTCATGAATAACATCAGGTGAGTTCATAAATAACTTCCACGATGAAGAAACAACAACGTCAAAATGGAAATCTCAAAAATATAAGTAATGGTAGTTTCAGGCAGTTACCACCCTCCCCTACTGTTCTGCACTTACATTTTAAATTCCAAACATCCGCGACATTTTTCGTATTAAGCTATGTAAGCATGATTATCCTTTATAACTAAATAAACGATACCATACTAGTTTTTATAATATGCATTATATTAAAAAGTAAGTAAACCTAGCGACCCTAATAATGATTCTACAATAGAGACAGTAAAATTCGAATAGTACGAAGACGTTTGAAGGGCAGCATTAACTAGACAAAGGGGCGTTGTCTCGCACCGCGCACATATAGAGAACGACAAAAGAACTTCATCGTTGTCATTTCCATTTTCTTCGTGCACTGTGTCTTGGAGCTATAGAATAAGCGATTTCAATAGTGGAAATATATTATTTACTTATTGTATTCGAAGAATCTAGGGTCTACGTCATTATCGAGGGCCATTATGTACTGGATACAACTTTGGAACACCACGCCGAAATTGCAAATGCATATTGATATGAAATTTTGTATATTACCTGTTTAGTTAATTCAAGTCGGCAGCTGGCGGTTGTTTATATGAGTGTATCAGACTCACCACAAACCGGGAGAAGTGGCGATTGCCCGTGAGACAGCGATCAAACTGAATGACGACCACGACCGCTCTGACAAGAGTGATACGGCAAGGAGTTTAATTAAATTTTGAATCCACTTTATTTGAATCTCATTATGTATAACAAAACAAATTGTGACACGATGGTAAAAGGTAAAAGGTAGAGAACGTAAAAGGAAAAGAGTTAGACCCCAAAAAATGGGATGACGACATGAAACAAGTGACAGGCGTCACAAGGAACAGAGTGGCTCAAGAAAGACATGAGTGAAAAAGGTTGGAGGAGGTTTTTGTCGATTGGCAAACAAATCTACAAAAAATAAGTAAAATTCAAATAAGAGACTAGATTAAGGTTTACATTACATATATATATATATATATTTTTTTAATACTTAATCATATGATTATAACATAAATCTGAATAAAAGGCCATTCATTCATTCGTTCATTCATTCATGTATAACAAAAGAACAACAGAATTAAAATAAACACACCCCACAATTATGGTAAATGTTTTTATGTGAAGCACTGTGCACCCGCTAGTATTTCATAAAAACAACTGTTTGTCAAAAGTAATCAGAATAATGGAGCTACGGAGTGAGACGCTGTTGAGATTATCTAAATAATTCAATTCACAAACTTCGCATTTATCAACTAACCAACAATCTCAAAAACTAAATTTTAGGCTTGACATAAAAGACCGATTCTACAATATGAAAATATTTGACAGGAAGCGACTCAAGAATCTTCATTTTAATGGCCAAACCGAAACTTTATATGCTCTCCCGTGTTTCCTTTATAAGAGGGCGGGCAAAGGCTTCGTTCTTATTTCCGGTTCGGCGGGTGTGACGTCACGTCTCGGAAGCGAACACACCACCGCACTCTTATAATGATATGGTTTTTCTATTTTGGCATTTCAATTCAATTCCTTAGATTTTTTAATGAAATGAACTTAGTTATTACTTTTTATTTTTTATCATGAATTAGCCGATAGCGTTGCTACAGGCTGTGCCCAAGATAAATAAAAATTTCATCAAAGTCCAAAACAAAACTCTATTTAAAACTAAGAACACTCAAAATACACTTTGCAATTAGTAATTCGTTTCTCCCATGTATTCTTTGAGACAGTTGGCGTAAATAATATTGCTGTGGGTCAGAGACATTCAACATTCCCTAGAAATATTAATAACTTGTGTCTTGACAAGAATAAAGAATACCCCGAGTACCAAATACATTTCAAACCCCAAAATGCAGCGCCAAGGGCACTTACCATCAGAACTACGAGGTCATATAAAGTATTTTGTGATGCTAATTAACTTTTGTCTTTTGTTCCCAGGTCTACTCGCAGCCACCAGCAATGGCAGCCCAGAGACCATCAGAGTCGAGCGGCCATACTTCGACGATGTGTCTCCGAGGAACGTGTCCACCGTGGTGGGACAGTCAGCAGTCTTGCGCTGCAGAGCCAAGCATATAGGGAATAGAACTGTGAGTCTGATATCGTCGCCATTACAATTTATTTTAAGTACATCTTTTAATGATGCCTTACGTTCCGTTGACTGTGATCCGATTGGGACGAAAAGTTTAAAAATGCTACCCACGACTCACTTTACCGCCACTGACACTTCTCGCCATAGAACTGGCCTAAGCGTTCACACCCACGACACCTTACCGCGAGCTACCAAAAAATGCTTCGAAAAACAATGAAAGGGCACAATAATATGATATATTGAATACAGCATACCAATAAAACAATTTCGCACAAATACTTCGACACAGTATAAGGGATTAACAGTAAATACGTTTGTAATATATCTTACGGGTGCCAAAACCACCTACCGCCGTGCATTCAATCATCGTAAGCCGACACATAAATTGTTATTATTACTGTAATCATCCCCGACTAAAGTTGCTGTATTCATTTGGAAAATAAAACTATTTACTTTATAATATCATAATATTAGGACATTAATTATTCAGTTTCACAAACCGCTTTCAACACAAGTCTCACGGGACATTGAAATTCATCTCTCGTAGCCAATTTAACAGCAGCGGGGATGATTTCAAAACTACATTTGTGGCCAGGGTAGGAAATTTCGGTTGATCATCGAATTCGGGATTCCCATGATTAAAGCTTGTATCTGATGTACGTCGGTTTATTGCCGGTCTTATTATAAATAGTTCGGAATCATAAAACTCTTTATTATAGTGATGTTTATAATGTATTTGTGGCCTCATATGTCCCGTGTGCGCTGGTTGAAAATTTAGACTTTAGCTCGTAGAATGAGCTGTGGCACCCATTTTGCAATGTCAATATGCTCCGCAAAACATTTATTCTCTATAATATCTCGCTTAGTATAAATGGGGCGATAGTTTTTCTCGATGCAATTTAAAGAGTATATTATGACTTGAATTACTTGCTGTAATGTTAACAAACAGTCTTAAACTCAACCCCAAATGTACAACTTTTGTATACCAATAGATTCAATGATACCGTTATCATAGCGAACGAAACCACTTTTATTGAGAATCTAAATATTAGTCCACAAATCATTTTATAAAATTTCATTAATTTTAATAAAATATTCTTAATAACCTAAGCTCCGCCTTCTAAAACTGCACAAATTTTATCACTTTTGCAAAGAGATGGAGCTTGCTATCACTTTACTGACGGATCCTGAATAACAGAGTAATCGTTTGTAAGCTATTGTTTTTATACAGTATAGAATTGAACACCGTTATGGTCCATTTTTTTATTGCTTAGATGGGTCGTCTAGCTCTCGGACCACCTAATTTTAAGTAGTACCACGTAAATGCCGCCACCCACTTCGAGACATGAGTTCTAACGTCTCAGTTTTTATAGTACAACAGCTGCCCCATCCTTCAAACTGAAAAGCATTACGCAAACGCAACGTCACGGTAGAAATAGTCAGGGTGGTGCTACATACCCGTGCGGACCCACAAGACGTCCTACCACCAGTAAACTTATTTGGTACTAAGTGGTCACAGTGGAGCCGATTGACATTAGAACATGAGCACCACATAGACCTAGATAAATGAGATCTAAGTCTCGATTCTATAACAGCTGTTGCACCCTGCCCAGCAGAACGCATTACTCTTTAGGGTCAGAAATAGGGTAGCTGACGGCATCTACTCGTGCGGGCTCACCAGGCACTTTACTACCATTAATTATGCAAATTATAGAATCTGCGGGTGTAAGTCACGCGATGTCTTTTTTTTTATTGCCCTTGTAAGCAGACGAGCACACAGCCCACACGATGGTGAGTGGTTACCGTCGTCCATGGACTGCAACAATGCCAGGAGCAGGGCCAAGCCACTGCCTACCACCTTCACCGTGGAAGTCCATTATGAACTCGAGAATAAAGAATATGTGGACCCCGTAGAACGTTATTTACTGTTAACCTGAGCAACCTGGCTGTATGAATCACAGACACCAACCTGATCCTTCCGAATCAGTTGACGGAGCGTTGGGCCACAGGCGCTGTGTGCAAAGGAGAGCTCCGGTCTTAGCTCAAAGCGAAAGCTCTTGGCACTCGTGCGCAATACGCAAACAATTTAATTTATCACAAGTTCAATTTCTTTGGTGCGTAAACATTCCCTAGGACGATAAACGTTTGTATTAAATTTTTAATTCGACGCCCTCGAGGCAGGATAATAAGAAAATAAATTTCATCCGCTTTTTGTTGAGTTTTTGTTTTCTCGCGTAATTAGAGTAAGCCCGGCTAAGCCGGCCCTGTAATTAAGCGAGATGGTCCGCACTAAGGATGTTTTACAGTATTTACAATAATAAAATTAAGTAACGAGCCGGTTTTTGTCAGATTCGCCTGCAGCCAAACATTTTTATAATTTAATTTCGGAATGCATTACCCCGTATAAATTCTTTTGTTCAAATAAATCTCTTAAAGGCCTCAATGGTCCCATGATGGTTAGTCATTCTATATAGACTTCTGATCCGAGTTAATTAGTCTAGTCTTTGCTGAATACCTATATATTTAGTATTCGGATGATGGGCACTCGATTCTTTGTTATGTGTACACATGTGTTTCCAGAAGACATTCATATAATAAAAGCCTAGCTCGGGGCCGTATAGTGTAAAGTCTAATTGTTTTTAAATTAGTTCTATTGAAAAAATCACGAAATGGTATCCAATTTTCCGGACAAGTACGAAGTGAGAACAGGTGAAACATTTAAGAGAATGAAGAGTAATTGTCAGATATAGGATATTGACTACATTTCATAAGCCTACTATATATCGACGGCTCCGTTGAAATCATCCCTACCCCCAGCGGCACTGCCTGTAAAAATATATTTTGAATATTTTAACCTATAGTTGTGCTCTATCCCTCAGGTCTCTTGGATGAGAAAACGCGACCTTCACATCCTAACCTCCCACATATTCACGTACACCGGCGACGCCAGGTTCAGCGTTCTCCATCCCGAACCTTCGGACGACTGGGACTTGAAGATCGACTACGTTCAGCCGAGAGACGCGGGGGTCTACGAGTGCCAGATCAACACTGAACCTAAAATAAACATGGCGGTGGTTTTGAACGTGGAAGGTGATTATGTGCCGCTTTAGGCAACAGCAGCCAGCCAATAGATGTTTTGTAGCTTATTATGGATGCGTATTATTTTTTATTATCGTGGACAGAGAGAGAATAAGTCATAAGCCTTTAAGGGGCCCATAGACACAACAACGTGAATTTCTCCATGCAGCTTAAGACATTAGATCAAAAATACCATGGCATTAGAGTAATGGCCATCCAATTCATGGAAACAAAATGCATGATTGCTTTGATTAGAAAAATACAAGACAAACAGCAGCCCTACTTGATTTACTTGATCGGGTCCAAAATATGCTGTGAGAATACCCGATAAAAATCTCTGAAGATTTTTTAATTTTTTTTTTTTTGTATTTGTGAATTTCATTATATTTCTGGGTTAGTCTCACTCTTTCTTACCCGCGTTATTACGTTTCAAACAGAGATTTTTCGTCATAGAGACTACTAATATGTCTTTGACTTCGGTTATTGCATTTTCTACCACGTGGCCCACCATTGGATTTGTCAAAAATAAAAAACGTACATCGGTATACAAATCAAGATTGGTTGCGATTAACAAACAATATTGCTTAAGGGCACCGGAGGTTATTAAATTTGTAATAGTCTACACATCCGTAAATATAAACATCCGGCCCAAATAGATCCAGAGCTCTCAGGTTATAATTTATATTGGATATTTCTTACAGTTATTTAATTTGTTAATCTTTAATTAGTTAATTTCTTTGTCACGTTAACTCTTCGACACTTGTGTTCAGTTGAAATGCAAGCTTTAGTTTGCCAAAAAACTACAGAAATAACATCATAATATTTATATGGAAACTTGTAACGTTAACGTTACACTTGTAACGTTTCAGATTATGAATAGGGAAACGGCTATTGAATATGACATTGACAAGAACGGTTGTTTCAACGAATTTACAGTATAATGTAAAGAATGTTCTTAAACAGGCCGTTTTGATTGTGAATACCGCATCGGCGTTCCTCATCGACCAAACTAGCTCAGAGTTTCGTTCGCAATTTATAGACGAACTTACAGATTAGATTAGTTATTAGCTCTAACTTAATAATAGGTAATTACACGTCTTTTAGAAAATTAAAAACTAAAAGAAATCAGTCAGATATATTGAGTAAAAAAAATTTAAAAAAGCACATTATGACTTTTGTTGTAGAAATATGAAAAACTAGTAAACCTAGTCACGCTTCGTATTATGGCTAATCGTTTGGAAAGCATCTATTGTTTTAAACTATTCAGGCGCCGTCTGCATTGATGGTACTTAAACAGACTTCTTGGAGCGTCAGCCACTACTGAACTAAGTGACGTCAAAATTAGATCAACGCGTCAGGAACGCATAGAGGATAAACATCTTTATTTAAATAAATACAGTTACAAAAAATATTGTGATAACGAATAGAAATACAACTATTCTATCTGTCAAGTTGGAACTAAGCCCAAATTTTGAAAAGTTTTTTATTAAAATCACGAAGTTCGTTTCGGAGTTCATTCCAGACAAACATTGTGACGTCTGAATCATATTTAATAGATATTCAATATAAACTTCCAAAATCGGGTTTTTCGATCTATAATTATTTAAAAAGCTGATAAAGGAACCCTAATTAAGTAAACAGCTCTCGCAGTAAAAAAATATATTAAAATACTACCCCGATTCCTCATGTGAAAAGTTATGTCTTCCAGCATTCATCTCCCGTCATATTAGGAGCGCGGCTAATACCCCGATACAAAGTGTAGGACATCAGTCACGTGGCTCACATTCGGACGCTAAAAATGTACAGATAAAACGGAACATGAAACACGTTCCGTTGTCTGCTTATGTCTAATGCTTTGTTTAGTTTCATTGTTTTTGAATTGTTTTAATAATTGTATGTATTATTAAAGTTATTTTGTTTGGGTGTTGGTTGAATGGATAATCATGATCTACGTCCATTGCTTGATGTATAAGAAGCCCTCAATATATCGATACTTAATCAGGGTAACGCTTTCTAGAAAAATAATTACATCTAAGATGAAATGTAGGCAGTAAGGTTCATAAATTCACGAAATTTGTGGTGGTAATCATTTCTGTTCGAAGATTGAGACGTCCGTCATACGATGAATGCATTTGAAACATCGACTTCGTGTTTCAAGCTAAGTGGCATCATTTGGATTGTAATGTCTACGGATTCATGTAGCCTCAACAGCATTCCTCAACAACAAATAAACCACTTGGCTATTATGATATATCTTGGCATTCTTCAGCATTCTGGCCGAATCGTTCGTTTGGATCGAGGGCACTTGTTTCTCCCCCAGGTCTATTGCATCCGGAGTCCCGCAAGGCTGCATCTTCTCTCCACTTCTTTTTAGTTTATTTATAAATGACAATCCCCGATCGTCGGCAGCCCAGCTAGCTATCTTCGTCTATGACACGACTAGTCACTACTCGAGTAGAAAGAAGTCCCTAATCGCAAATAAACTCTAGACCTTTTTTTTATTATATTGCATAGATGGGCGAAAGAGCTCACAGCCCACATGGTGTTAAGTGGGAGCCCATGGACATCTTCAACGTAAGTAGTAAGTGGACCGTATTGATAAACTTCGGACAGTGATTGCCGAAAAGGAGCATCGATATTAACCCAGCGAAGAGCGATGCTCTTTCGACGCGAATCTCCCTCCAACATCAGGCGTGTGAATCTTAATCCTTGATTACCCTCTCCAGCCCATCAATACCTCGGGCCATGAAGGTAAATATCTGGGAGTCATCCTGGATGCACCTATGGTATTCCACCCACACATAAAATCGTTCTGTGACTGCCTCGCGTTTATCCTCGGCAGAATTGCAGACCTCGGCAGACCCATGATCTGCAAGCGGAATAAAATATCCCTTCATACTAAGGTGACCCTTTACATAACTTGCATACGGACTATAATGACCTATGCAAGTGCGGCGCTCACTCACGCGGCCCACACCCACTTAGATACCCTTCTGGCCCTTCAATCCTGTTTTTTTAAGATAGTCGTTATGGCACCCTAGTTCCTGAGGAACGTTTATCTTCACGTAAATCTAGGCCTTGGATCTATCGGAAAATACCTGAAGTCAGCGTCGGAACGGTGCTTTGATAAACCGACGTGTCATGAAAAACGCCTCTTCGCCTTAGCGCCTCACGTCTGACTGGCTCACACAGGAGCAAGTCACCGTCGGCACCCTAGGCACATACTAATCCAACCGATCCACTAATCATGTCATTTGCTGTCTGCAGCTACTAGGACCAGGCACAGGGACCCTGGGAACCTGAGTCGTCGAGCTCGTTAAAGATTTAGACGTGAAGCATAGCCCACACATCAAACTGCTGAATTTCTCGCCGGATTTTTTCAGTGGGTTGCGATTCTGAGCCCGTAGTATATACGTTCGCGAAGAAACTGCCCTTATTTTTTTATTAGGTCTCTTTCGGAAGCGCTGGGGCAGCTGTTACAATTTCCCACCCAGGCTGAGCCCGTACTCGATCACCTGTCTTGATGAATCTGGAAAGGTCTACGGGCCACCAGTAATCATTCCCTCCAAGAAAAAACCAGATGGGCCGTAAGCTTGGTCACACATTTAATGCAAAATCCTAGTAACTGAAATAAGCTAGCTGGTGGAGGCTTCCCGCGCGAACTCCTAACGCGCCGTACCGCAAATAATTACTCAAATTCATTTTTTGTCTTAATCCCTTTGCTTTTGTGCATTATCCCTTCAGTTTAATCAGCGGTAATAGAAACATTGTTAAGAATCAAAGATACCAACGAAAATATCTACTTAATAGGAGATCAAACTGGACGAAAAAAATCAAGCCGCGTTTCTAAAAAGGTCCAAAGCGTGGCAGTCTGAATAATTCGAGGGCAAATATAAATTTTTATGAAAGGGTGGACGGCCAAGGGATCCAAAACAATAAATATTTGAAGCACTCGAATAATTGTTTTATTAAAATAGCCGAGTTTTTACCGAGTTTAATTGACTGAGCTGTTTTTTGTCTTGTTCAAACACGTTTTCATTGTGTCTGAACGACACTCTAGGCTCGATAATGCTCTGAGAGAAATTCATTTTCATGAGCCACATCACTACTGGCTGTAACTGATTCGAAATTTTAGGAGCGTTCTGAATAAAAAACTGTTTTACATAATTAGTGTTAGAAGGCACGATTCTGAGCCCAGATAGGTGTGTCTCATTCTGCCTATTCCTGCTACAGAGCAATTCTGTGTTCCTGAAGAGTAGGGCAGCCGCTATATGACAAAATTAAGACCTTTGACCTCACACCTTAACGTAGGACTTAGGAGATGGCAATCGCACTAGGATTTTCAATAACTACAGAGTATGAAGAAGTATTTGAGCTCGTCTGCGCACTACAATAAAATGTACATATATACCCTCCCACCTTTACAAAGGCCGTGTTACCGAATGCATATCATCTCAGTTACCCATCAATATCTCGTGTCAACGCTACTACCACAGACTTGATCATGATCAATAAAAACTCCTCCAATATATGTTATGTATTATACGAGTAACTCAATCACTACTTAACCCTCCGGTCGTGGCTACCACTAATTACATACCCGACCGCGACGAGGCAACGCAAAACCGCCGTCGACCGAAACATATCTTGTCAGATTCCCCGGATCCAAGATCAAGAGTTCGACGACGAACTAACCAATAGACACAGCCCACTGAGCTTCTCATCGGATTTTCTCATCCAATGGTAGATTCAGCGAAGCACTGCTCTTGCTAGGGCTAGTGTTAACAAATTTTCTCAGGATGGGTCGGTGAGCTACTCCACTACCCGTCTGCGAAAAGCTGGAACAACTCCTGAGGCTAGAGCGAATAAGTAGGAGAAAAAAAAAAANCTGCCCTTCGTGTCAGAAAAGCTGTTTTTATTTTATTATTTTATTTAGTTGACATTATTGTCTTCGGCCACAATAACGATACATTGGAACATGTGTACATAGGATTATTTTATAATACACTGTTTTAATTATATAAAACGAACCCCAAACTAAACAAAAAGGATCCAGTACACAATGAACGACTGTTTTCAAACGAAATTTATCGTTGAACCTAAAATGTTAGACGTAAAACTTAATTTATTTTGTTCTGTTATAAAATCCACAGAACGAGGTCGAGTTGGTAATTTTTCAAGGATAACAAGCTGGGTAATGCGCTGGATGGATTCGAGCAGCGGGATGTATCAAACGAAACATGGTCTGATAAACGGACGGCCTTACTTCATTTGTATATAGAATATAATGGAATACGAAATAAGGTTGGGTATTAACTTGATCACGGTCTGGGAATTTTATGAGGGCTCAAATTTGTTTACGGTTTTGGTTCACGTTGTTGGCTAACAAAATGTATCTGTCACCCATTGTATTCACAGTCCAAATACATTAGCGTCTACTCGGCTAGGCGATGCTAGTGATCACTTCACTTTAAAAACTTCATACTTCACAGTATGACTGTTAGGAAATGAAGCATTAACGGATCTGCGGCGTAAATCTTATCCTATCCTATCTTAAGCCCGCGGCGCAATATGTGAACATGTTAAATAACATTGTTATTGTCAATGGATACGAGAAATTTTGAGTCATGAAGTCGTCGTGGCCTAAAGAATAAGACGTCCGGTGCATTCGTATCGAGCGATGCACTGGTGTTCGAATCCCGCAGGCGGGTACCAATTTTTCTAATGAAATACGTACTTAGCATATTATGTTCACTATTGACTTCCACGGTGAAGGAATAGCATCGTGTAATAAAAATCAAACCCGCAAAATTATAATTTGCGCAATTACTGGTGGTAGGACCTCTTGTGAGTCCGCACGGGTAGGTACCACCGCCCCTTCTGTTTCTGCCGTGAAGCAGTAATGCGTTTCGGTTTGAAGGGTGGGGCAGCTGTTGTAACTATACTGAGACCTTAGAACTTATATCTCAAGGTGTGTGGCGCATTCACGTTGTAGATGTCTATGGGCTCCAGTAACCACTTAACACCAGGTGGGCTGTGAGCTCGTCCACACATCTAAGCAATAAAAAAAACGCGCCTTCCAAATCCAACAAAAATATATATTAGTAAAAAAATTTATAAGTGAGCTCGGAATATAAGTAGTTTTTTTCGAGTTGCCAGCAGACAGGAGTGTTAAGAAGCAGCCTTTGATTTGTTTTATTAAGACGGTTTCACTAACTTATTTTGCACCTATGCTTATATCCTATAGCCTATGTATATATGTTAAGGAATCTTTTAATTCAAATTTTATAAATTACTAGCTTTTACCTGCGACTTCATTTGCGTAGAAAGAAAAAAAAACCCCGATTTTGAAACATTCTTTATTGGTGCTCCGTTTGTATTGGTCTTTGCGTGATGTTATATAAGCTTCCTCAATAAATGGACTATCTAAAACTGAAAGAGTAGTTCCTGAGATTAGCGCGTTCAAACAAACAAACTCTTCAGCTTTATAATATTAGTATAGACAAAACTTCCGATAAATTTGAAAATGTGCTCACTTATAAGAAACGATGAAAATACGATAACTTTATTATTACTGTGCCTTAAACAGGATCATTAGGAGAGAAAAAAATGTTGTCCTATCAAGTGTGTCCTATTAAAGCCCTTTTTAAAGTTTTGAATAAAAATTATAGCAATTCGAACAAGGACTTCTTTCAATATGTTCACTCGTGAGTTTCTCCTTTGTGTCTTATTAGGAATTCAATTTTAATTCAAAACATTTAAGCCGATATACATAGGTGTTTGCAAATAAACGGCTTACTTAATTTACATGTGGAACAGTGAACAATCGTAGTCCGGAATGAGAGATTCCCATTGGTTCCTGCTCTAGGCTAGTGTATGCTACTCTTTAACAGGGATTAATTAGGAAGTGCGATTAAACTTCACGGCATGCTCGTCTTGTACTTCTTGCTTCGGTTTCCTCAATACTGAGGGTCGTGACCACCTCCTCGCAACAAGAGTTTATTACGGACCATTCCACGCCATTTGCCTCTATCTGCCGCCGAGTGTAGAGCGTCGTAAACTGTGGTGTCGAGGGTAGTGCGGATCTGGTCAGTCCAACGTGTCGGGCGTCTACCTCGTGGTCTTCTTCCGTTCACCTGAATGTAAATCAAAATTGATAAAAAAACGTAATAAAACTTCGGTTACACAAACTTTATAGATTACTAGTTTTATTGCGTGACGTGCTGAATAACAAGCGCCCAGTTTAGTGTCACCTACATGTTTTGTTTTTTCAATCCTATTATATTTGAAGCTGACCGGTCACCGCTCTCCTCACGTCACCTCTACTTCTCGAGATTGCGACAGGCCATCTCGACATCGCGTACGCCAATGAAGTTTGTTAGATACTTTGTATTCCTGATCCTCTCCTAAGATTTAATCTTCTAAATTCCAGATGAGTCCCACACCCCCGCGACCTCGGCCCCGCCCCGCTCCTCAGGTACATTGTCCTGTTACATCTATAATTAATTATTTTTTAATAGTATATCATTGGTTTATGTTCGCTTCGGTATATATGCGAGGCGCGGTGGAGGAGGCACGTCGCTTCAACGCGAGTTCATTTGCTCCCATCATTGGAACGTTCAAATTGCTGATGTCATTACTTCACATCATTCCTAAGTATCTGCAACTTACAAACTTGAGACAATTCCCCTGTAAACAGTCATGTGACATAATAAAACGTAGCAAAACAAAAAATAAAATCAAGCGCGAGATGAAATCGTAAAACTCTTTATATTATTGTCATCAACTATTCGAATTAAAATACTCACTTGTCTAAGGTACTTTAAAAAAACGCAACTTTAATATTAGAATTGTCATACTACACCAAACCAACCAGCTTCTCACATTAGAAAGAGAATTGTCGTTGTTTTGTAAAAGCCAATTGTTTTAATTAAACAGAATGTGTATTATTTTCGCTAATTAGAAACAGTTACTATTTTTGACAACATAAATATTCGTTTTCTGTTTGAAGTTTAGTAAGAAATATTTACATCATATTGATGTTTAGAATGTAGAAAATGTTGTGCAAGTTTATCAATTATAATGATGCTTAAAACATGCATGGTTGATTCAGAAAATTTATTACAATTATTCAGGGTTTCTGAGCATTTACTAGGGCTCCTGCAAATATATGGAGCTATTGGAACTATGAACGTGATATTTCCACATTGCATTTTAAAAAGACCCGTAGCTTCCACGCTTAGAAATCAATAAACTGAAACTACGCCTCACCATCAGGTGGCCGTTATCAATTTAACCCATAAAATAAAATGTGATCGGCCATTTGATTTCAGTAAAAGCTCGAAACAAAGTTGAATCAAACGGCAAAAGCGCCGATGACGTTAATGACGGGACGCGTGCCGCGGGTGGGTGCTTAAAGTTTACAGCTTCGAAAGAGGCTCGATAAAAATAAACGTTTCACTCGTTAAATCCAATTCTAGAAATCAACTTAAGTTTAGAGTTTTATCACTGACATTGTTGAAGTTTTCCAAATTAGGATTTATTTTCAATTTAGATTTTTTTGTTTGGAAGAATCGTAAAATGTGCAAAACTTTGAACAGCTTAATGTTGAATAATTTTCGTTGCAAAACATTAACGATTTAGTAAAGAAAGCAACTTTTGAAATTAAGCTCAAAAATTTAAAGTTTGACGCGAGCTTCGGGGATCTCATCAAAACCTTAGCAGGATTCTACGGGAGCGCTTTATGTAAATTCCTTTGTAAAATTAAGTTTCATACAGTTTACACCCAGAGGTGCTCTAATAACAGACTCGATCCATCGAACTGAGATTCCCATTTGCATACCATTTCCACGCGTATTTTCCTTCATGCGAAATATTTGTTTTATGCTAATATTGTCTCGTGTTATAAGGTTGATATTCGCTTGTTGCAGCTGCTGCGGCTACCATATGGGGCTCCCAGGACGTCTATGTGAAGAAAGGGAGCACAATATCGCTGACGTGTTCGGTGAATGTCCATTCATCGCCACCCTCCAGCGCCTCGGTCTTGTGGTAATTTGTTCATACCAAAACTACATATTGGGGAAATGCAATGTTTCAAACTTAAATGTACTTTCCAATTACTTTTCTAACTTATTCTATCACAGTTATAGGAAATAAATTAATGTTTGAACTTTATTATTGGTTAGGTAGATGGACAAGCTCACGGCACACCTCGTGTTAAGCGGTCACCGAGGTCTATAGACATCAATAACAAAAATGTCGCCACTCACCTTAAGACATGAGTTCGAAGTCTCAGTTATCTAGTACAACGGCCCTTCAAACCGAAACGCATCACTGCTTCACGGCAGAAATAGATTGGGCGGTGGTACCTACCCGCGCGGGTTCACAAGGCTCCTTACCACTGTTGATTATTATGCAAATTATAGTTTCCGTGAGTTTGATTGACACATCAATTACGTCCAAACGTAAACTACGTTTAAGTCTAAGTTTTTTTTAAACTGGTAACGCGTATTCTAACCACTGAAGATTCATGAAACAGCTCGAGTGCCTGTCATTAATCATGACTATTTATTTCATTTTACAAAGACCTCGACTTTGTACTCGGGTCTCCAACAAGCTCCAAAGACATTTCAAGCTTAAACTAAAGATTTGTACTCTCGTAATTTAATATTTCAAATCTAATCTCAATTTTAAATTTAGCTTTCGATAAGGTATCCAATTTGATTTAGCGCACTGCTTCAGTATAAATTTTTATCAAGCAAACGATATAAAGTGCATCTGGTACTAAAGTTATCCAAATGAGCGGTCCACCTGCGGACAGCCGGCTTTATTGAATTCTGAACGGGAACATTTACCGTCGAACGCATTTTGTATTTTATTTTTCTGAAAGATTTACAAGAAAACTGGTATCTCGAGAACTCTGCTTGTTTAATGTTTCAAACAATTACTAGTGTTAATTTTGGGAGTAAGTACTAGGAAATATGGAGAGGAGGTGGCGAATACTTGGGTAGTCTCATACTATACTGGGTAGTTAGTTGTAACGAGTAGCCGATTTATGATAATATCATTAAGTTTCTAGTGTTCATTTTTGCTGAAATCCACTTGTCCTCCACGTGAAGTGTTTAAAAAAAAGGACTATATCTTGTCGCTTTAACGTCTGCATACATCAATTATTTAAAAGTCCAATCAGAGGCTATATCGACCTCACCTCACATGACTGCTTCGTTGATCTGTTACTGAGTGATCCTAAAAACAAGGCACTCCGGGTTCGATCCTCCATATAATTTAACATAATTTAGTGTTTCTGATAATAATAGTTAGGAGTCCGGATACTGTCTCGTTTGCATATTGTTGTTTTACCGGTAACACAAGAGAACTGACAGCTTCACACCCTCCCGTACATAACGTTTTGTCTTAATTTGCTTAAAGCGCGTTTCAATAAACTATTATCATATAAACAGTAATCGAAATTCGACTATAATTAATTGAAATTATAAGTTTGATCATGATTAAGGTTCTATTGTCAAAGACTATTTATAATACTTCTATAATCACAGATTTTGCCAATACTACACTATAAACAAATAATATTAAAGATAAAGAATTCTAACCTATTCTCTATTTGACCACAGACTTTGAGCCTTTACAAAAGTTTGACAATAAATATAGAGTATATGTATGTATGTGTGTGTGTTTCAAATACATGATAGTGTGTGTGATATATTGATTTAATGTACTTTTTATGCATAATTTAAACAAAAAGTTAGCATTCTGCACTCCTTCACTATATTCTCTATAAGTGTGGGAATATTGATATAAATCTATTTTATAACAATTACTTCGCCTCACATTTTCAACCAAATCATATACTCGTATATCTTAGGTACCACGGAAACGCTGTGGTAGACTTTGACTCGCCCAGAGGCGGCATAAGCCTGGAAACGGAGAAAACTGAAGGTGGAACCACCAGCAAGTTGCTCGTGACGAAAGCAGCACTCACTGACTCCGGAAACTACACGTGCGTCCCGAACAACGCACATCCCGCATCGGTTTCTGTACACGTGCTTAATGGTGAGGGAAAAGCCTTGTTATTTATTTCCAGAAATTGTCGATCATTATTGGCCTCAATTTAATGAATAGAATCAACAGGCTATTAGACTTAAAAAATACATTTTTAATATAAAAATGTGTCGGTCTTGTTTAATCTTAAAAAAACACGTATAGTCATTAGTGCCCGGGATAGTGTACAGATTCTAACAACGCCCTATGGACTAAGCTCGTCTATCCATTTATGCTCATAAAATGTGTGACCTATATCTGCCGAGATTGTTTGACTAACTTTATTATTAAAGAGAGCATATCACACAATATCTTTATAATTGTATAATAAATTGTATATATATATTTATTACGTAGTGGGATGAACAAACTCGCGGCCCGTCTCGTATAAAGCGGTCCCCGGAGCCCACAGACATCACCAGGCGACTGCCGCCACACACCTCGAGACGCGATGTCTGTTACCATTACGAGTAAATACCGGTTAACGATCACAGTACCCTGGAATAACACTGAGGGAACGCTGCTACCCATTCCCCAGTGAATCTCTCAGTCATTTATTATGAGCGCTACGACAGAGATAGAGCGATGATATTCTAGATCCCACACAGACGACGTGCCTTATATAACGACCGTTATTTGTACGTAGGTGAGCACCCCGCTGCAATGCAAACGAGTAACAAAGCGTCGTCCTACCTGACGTCGCAGCTGAGCTGTGCCATCCTCACGTACCTCCTCTCCTCGACCGTTGGCAGATGATCAGCTTAACTCCTAATCACGAGGCGTGAGCTTTTGGAATTAACTTATCTCTATCCACCAGCGCACGAATGTAAATTTACTTTGAATTTTTATGATTGGGAATTTTAATTGTATTTTCTTATTGCTAAATTTGCCTTGTAATGTAACATTAAAATGATTATACAAATCTGGTTGTGAAAACATCTATACAATATCTATATTCCCAAGCGTCTATGTTTATAAAGTTTCATTTCAACACAAAAGCTCTCGCCAAACGCGTTGTAGATTTTTTAACGTAGATTGACTTAAGTATTACTTTAAGTGAGTTTTGTGTTAAATTAATTATAATTATAAAATACACTGAAAAAGGTTTACCGGTGGCGGGGCACGAAGGAGCCCTCTGGGACTCTTCCACAGTCCGGTCTATTGTTGCCGCAGAGCAATGGTTTCTTGCACTCCGATGCAATACAGACTTCAATATAAAAATGATCGCTTAGCACCAGATGATAGGTCAAGAGATCCTTGACTCATATGCTCTTTTGATACTCGACAACAACAATTTTTACATTGTTAACTTGATCAACGAACCAATTGTAAGACAAAGTTATTCCCGTAATTATATTTCATAATTATTATTTAGTAAGTTTTGTAAGTAAGTAAAAAAATAGTAACAAAACTGAATACTGTAAAATGATTTTTGAAATCAGCCCAGTAAAGCGAATATTACAATATAATATGATAATAGTTTACTGTGAGAAGTTTTTGTTGATGTGCTGTTTGCTCAATATTTATTTATAGTATGAGTCTGTACGGAAATTATAAGAGAAGTCGATCAGTGTCTATTGGGAATCCGACTGATAGAACAATGAAACGTGATCTTCAGTAATAGAACGCCAGAAAAATTACGACACAGAATTAACATAATGTGTATTTGGGAAATGGAAGCTCACGAATTATTGATTTCAGTTAATTTAACTAGAGCCAAAGTAGAAAGCGCGTGGCTGATATAGTATTAAGTAACAGTCGTAAATCAGAACTTGGACTGACTTCCGGTGTGCAGCCTTATTCTGTCTACACACCACGGCAGCCCTGCACGAGCGTGAAGGTGTGCACGCTTACAGAGCAACTAACGCAGCTTCACACAAAAAGTTCCGACGACGATAAGTAATAATGTAAATTGGACACTTTTGTACATAAATTTAATACGTAATAGTAGACGTTCGCATTGTAAATATAACAAATAATGTACATAATAAATGTTTATTTGTAACATAAGTAGTGCCACCATTCGTGTGGTGAAAAATGTTTCACTTCTGTTCTTAGAACGATTTATTGTATTGCGATCCGGAGATCCGTTCAGTTAGAATTTAATTAANAATAATGTAAATTGGACACTTTTGTACATAAATTTAATACGTAATAGTAGACGTTCGCATTGTAAATATAACAAATAATGTACATAATAAATGTTTATTTGTAACATAAGTAGTGCCACCATTCGTGTGGTGAAAAATGTTTCACTTCTGTTCTTAGAACGATTTATTGTATTGCGATCCGGAGATCCGTTCAGTTAGAATTTAATTAATCGATTTTGCTGGAATCATAACCGAGATAAGTTAATAAGTGATATTTGGAAGGGAGGATTACTGGTGGGCCGGAGACCTTTCCAGTTTCTCAAGAACAGGTCATTCAGCCCGGAGGGGTGAGATATGCTAACAACTGCCCAAGCGACTCCGAAAGCGCCTTCAGAGCTCAAGGGCAGCTGCTTCGCGAATGTAATAAATGGTATCTAGAATCACAATTATTTTATATAACAAAATCAGTTTTATCAGCGGTTTTATTTTAACAGACCTGCTCTGTAGCACGTGTAGCTTGCCACGTAACATCGGACAGACAAAACTTTACCTGTAACTATCAAGCTCAGAGATCAATGTATGCGCGCTCCCCCGTCGTATGTACAGTAGCACATAGCTCACAGCTGTACATTCATACGCAGCTATAATATCGAAACATTGTACAACACAAGCCCACCTGAAACTTTACGTACCTTTGATATTAAGGTTCGCGTTGCAGTGTCAGATAAGTTTGTTCTGAACATTTCTGATGCGGAGTTAGCGCAACCTGCTGTATCATCAGGGATGTCAGGAACGGCGTATGCAAAATTATTCGTGAACCAGTTTGGTAAAATTCTGAACTGATTGCAATGATCGCAAGTACGGGTGGTAATTAAACTAAAAACTGATCTCCGAGGTCGTGCTAGGTGTGCTACCGACCGTTCTTAATCATTTTATTAAGTCGTCGTGGCCTAAAGGATAAGACGTCCGGTGCATTTGTATCTAGCGATGCACCGCTGTTCGAATCCTGCAGGCGGGTACCAATATTTCTAATGAAATACGTGCTTAAGAAATCTTCACGATTGACTTCTACGGTGAAGAAATAACATCGTCTAATAAAAATCAAACCCGCAAAGCTATAATTTGCGGAATTACAGGTGGTAGGACGTCCTGTGAGTCCGCACGGGTGGGTACCACCGCCCTGCCTAATTCTGCCGTGAAGCATTGGTTTCGGTTTGAAGGATGGGGCAACCGTTGTTACTATACTGTGACATTCGAACTCATATCTCAAGGTGGGTGGCGGCATTTACGTTGCAGATGTCTATGGGCTTCCAGTAACCGCCTAACACCAGGCGGGCTGTGAGCTCGACCACCCATCTAAGCAATAAAATATATATAATTGAATAATCTTTCAGAACGGATTATGCACAGACAGACAGGGCAGTGGTAAGCAGTAGATATTCGGAGGGTTGCTGAATACCATTGAACTTATTATAGTTCCACATTGCGCAGTCATCACATGTTTGTGGCTTGTGTGTAGTGCCCCGCGGCGCTGCGCCGGCCCGGCCTCCTAGAGTAAGATCCCAGAGCCACCAGACGTCACGTATTTTCTAACGAACGAAATGTGCCCAATTGCGTAGTGTTAGTATGTACTAAGAACCTACCTGCTAGCTTGCTTAGACGGCTAATTTTAAGGCGACCAACAGTACGCAATCGGCCACATTTCGTTCGTCAGAAAATACGTGATGTCTGGTGGCCCTGGGATCTTGGACTCTCCGCTGTCGAGTTGCCGCCAGCAACCAAGTTTCAACTGAACGGAGCTCCGTCGTAACTCGTAGGTGATAAAGACAAATAAAATAATTTAAATTCTATCAAATGTTTTTAATCAAAGTGTTTATACGAGTATGACGCGTTATGTTTTTATTCTTTATTCATGTTGATTCAATATATTTGGAGCCACAGCTCATCCATCACACGGAGGTCTACTGAGCCGATCGATTTCATTTCCACTTAGTAAATTGTCATGGGAAACAAATGTTTACAGTATAGATTCTTTTATTTTTTAAATATCAAGAACACATTAAACGCCTTAACAAAATTTGGCGTAATATTTTATTTGAAATCACAATGTTGTTTGTCAGGAAGCGAGCGGGGCGTGAGCAAAAACCATAATATATTACTACCCTATTATGAATACTTGACTTTTTATTAAATTAATGTTTTATGAACGCGCAATGTACTCCGATGCTAGTGCACGACATCAGCATCAGCGTTATATCTGACAACAAATCTTTTGGCTGTGCTGATTTTCAATAGCATATAAGGATCGGTTTCGAGAAACTCATAAAAATGTGCTAAAAAGTTTTATTTCATCAAATATTTTTGTGTCAATGCAATGGTTTTGTTTTTGAGAATATTTCAATTCACTTTGTGCACGTCAATGGTCATCCACATACAAAATAATGAAATTGAATCAACATGTCTCTAATGCTATTAAAAATCTAAATGAAAATCTCTTGTACACTTGTATAGTAGTTATCTAATTATTCTAATAGCGTTGTAGATGATATAATATTAAATAGATATGTTCCTTAAAACGAATGTAGAGCAATGTTGGTGAGTGTAATTAATTGTATGATTACGCGATTTTTGAAATAACGTGACATATTGCGTTAAACTGAGAATCATTTTTATTTCAAACAATTTGTAAATATTACTATTATAAGCGAAAAAAGGGATTATTAATAAACATTTTAAAAAATATATAAAGGCTTGTTTTATTTGATGTACAAACCAAAAACTACTTTCGAAATACTTTTCCTTTCAGAATATTGTATATTTGTGTAAAGAACAAATAGAATATAAATAATATGAACAATAGAGCGAATCGCATGAATATTCAAGCATACAGTTATGAGCAGTGGACGCATCGGCACTCAAGGGGTGATCCCTTATACTATTTACATTAATTAGGACCATGAGCTTCAAACTGCAGTACTGCTACGCTCAGAGCTCATTGCACATGGATCCGTATCATACAGCACATATGTACATAGACCCAGCGTCCACTACTCGTATAACGACCAGTTGCTGTTGTTGCTCTAAGCACGTCATTACGGATCCTCCCGATCCATTAACGGTGCTTGTAGGTACCACAAGCACCGGTCACCATCCTCGTCGAACCCGTCGCTTGCAAGGAAGAGCTCGACGAGTAAATTAACCCATAAACACGGCTAACTGAGTTTCGAGCCGGATCTTCTCAGTGGGTCGCGTTTCTGATCCGGTGGTAAATTCTGCGAAGCACTGCTCTTGCTAGGCCCATTGTTAGCAACACTCCGGCTTGAGATCCGTGAGCTCACCTAACATCAAGAAGAAGCTGAAATAACTTCTCGAGGCTATCAGCATGGGTAGGAAAAAAAGCCGTTGTTGCTGCCGTTGCCACTTGGCGACACTGCCGCAGTATGTATTCAGCCGCTTTTAGGCACTAAGTTGGTTGTTTGGTGGCTATCAGACTTCATGCCGTACAATAATGAGACGATGACTAAAAACAATGAAACAGTTTATTGCTAAAGTTGGAACAGCCATTAAAATAGGCACAACAATGAAGGGACTTCCCATTTAGAACCGTTTACTTGAAGTTTTAATAAAATACCTAAAAAAATTAGGTTCCCACGTCACAAAGATCTCAAAGAAAATTAATTTCATAACTTTGAAACATAAATACGCTCAAACGTATCGCAGACGACAGANACTAAAAACAATGAAACAGTTTATTGCTAAAGTTGGAACAGCCATTAAAATAGGCACAACAATGAAGGGACTTCCCATTTAGAACCGTTTACTTGAAGTTTTAATAAAATACCTAAAAAAATTAGGTTCCCACGTCACAAAGATCTCAAAGAAAATTAATTTCATAACTTTGAAACATAAATACGCTCAAACGTATCGCAGACGACAGATTAAACAGAGATTCAATAAGAGAGATGGACGACTTTTCACAAGTAGATTCACTTTATTTGCTTTCGCGTAATAAAATCACATTCAAAAACATACGTTAAAGCGATTTATATAAAACGAATAAGCAAAAAAATGGAAGAGATATTTCGTATCCTTTTGAAGTCCCAATCTCAGAAATTATATTTTTCCCTCTTAATCCCTCTAAATACAATATTTTTCTTTCAACGGAATAAAATCTTAAAAGAGTATCAAGTGTACCTCCATAAATCGAATGTTGAGTGCTGGACGTTACGACGTCGTTAT